TTGTATATGACAATAGTATGCTTTTCAGATGCTGATAAAAGTCGTAGTTGTTTGATTGTTAGATTGAAGGTACACATTGACTATTTGCTCATTTGACATGAGCTTTCCCTTTGAATATGACATGATTTCCTGTATAAATGGACTGAAGCTGAATTGCTTCATTTTATTACAGTCAATGCATAAACAAGTAAAAACTCATTGTTTTGAACACAACAGATTGCCAGACATTTAACAATCATATAATCAATAATTCAATGTTATAGATTTATTGTTCGGGGTATTCGGAAAAGAATCAGACTTAATCGCACGCAACCCTGAAACCACAGAATTATTAGTCGAAATAACTGAAACAACTACTTTATTAGTGAGGGGAATCCGACAGCCAAACTATCTTGTTAGCATTTCTTATAAAACAATTGGAGACTACTGAATAGTGTCCTGTGGTTTGAAGCTAACGGTTCAATATTTTTCGAGCCACAAACATTCAATAATAAACTACCTTATACCAAAGACTATTTGAATGTTTGGTCTGACACTACTTTTAATGAATTCTACTTAATATGAGATAAGGCATGTTTTAGAGCTGTTCGCCTGGTTACATATAATTTATGAAAACAAATTTTCACGAATGTTTTCACACTGAAAAATACCTGCAATAGGTCTGAAGTAATAAACTCACTTTATTTTCCAATCCATCAGCAATTTTAATGATTGGGGGAGGTTCATGTACAAAAATGAACCATAACTGATTTGGTGGTCTTGGACCTACAGGATACAAATGATCTGTCAAGATGATAACATCGGCTTCAAGCCATCTTGATTTATCGAAAATCAATTCACAATCACAAGCGTAACAGATTGAGAAGTCCCGAATAATATTGATTGTAAGGTTTCCATAGTTCAGAATTATCTTTTTCTGCAGATAAAAACCAATGAAAGAAATACTTTAATTGATTAAGCAATGCCTGTACAGTCAGTATAAGTGAATTTTCCGTTGTACAGTTTTGTGCACATCTGATAACAATATACAAAGTGTGTGAACCTTATTTCCGAAAATATTCACTTAACAATTAAAACTTGTGATATATGAAGAACAAAAGATCAATGCTACGCTAAATTATTATCAGTTGTCCTCATTTCATCTCAGTGAAAATGAAGCTGCCTATTATAGCTTTCTAAGTGTACTGATCTTCAGTTTATCTTCAATAGCTCAAAACTGAACTAAAATAGCCTATCTAAGTATGAAGGACAGAAATGTGTTGTTGTTCAATGTATATCGTGTTTTTCTTTTGAAAGACAGATAGCATACGAATGACAGACGCATATTCTCTCTTTACAGAAATATAAGCGCAGTAATTTTAGAAGTATTAAAGACAAATGTTTATGTATATATAGTTTATGATAGAAGATTTCACCATAATACTTCGATTATTGCTATCACCTTTCATAAATTGCGTTTAATCCGATCGTTATATTTACGAATTCATTCGATCTAAAACTTGATTTAGGAAGGCTGCACTGTTGGACATATCAACGTCCGCAGACAACCCTAAGTTCACAAACTCACAAACTAAAAATCCAGTTGCCTTAGTATTGTCAAAATCTTCTGAATATTATCTACAATTCTATAGCTTGATGATAAATTACGTACTGAAAACAATATTCTGCACTCATATTTTTTTGTGCTAAAAGACTGCTTCAAACCTCTGTTCAATAGATTAATTTTTTAAAAGAGACCTACAGTAATTATTTGCAAGTGTGTGGAGACTATTTGTGTTAATACCTGTTTCAACAAGATATATGCGAACTTTTACTGAACTTTACTGAACATTTACTGAAGTGTATTAGCGTTACTAAAGCCAAGAATACTGGATAATTTCAATAGTATGTGACGATGACTTGAAAAACTGGGGCTGGGATGTCAACTCAGTTTAATACTAACTGACTTAATATTATTCACTGCTAACATAGTTATAGTTTATTTGAAATTGAACCTCACTCTGATTGATTAGAAAGAAAGAAATTTCTTTATAACAATGATACTGGATGCACTACCAGAAAATCAGTACCACTTGAGTGTTTTCAAAATGATAATTAGGTAGAATGATTCCGAAACGAGATGGTCATTGATATATCTCTATTATTAAGCAAAAAAAAATGGGCCAAAATGATTACAACACAATGTGAAGGAAAATTTTAAGAATCCCGTCAACTGGAGAAACTACAATCAAAATTTAGAAGAAAAAAAGTCATTAAAAGAAACTTACACGAGTTGAAACAGATCTTACTTCATATAATTCTTCAAGATCTTTCTCAGTAAATCCGAGTGTAATTTTGTTTTCATGCTTCCGCATTTGTGAGGAAATATAATATGTTTGATCAGTTTTAACTGATAAATTTGAGTAACCATCATATAGTAATGCACTATTTGAGAAACTATCATATGGTGATAAGCCGAATGATTTCTCCCACTTGAGTGAAAGTAGAAATTTTGTCAGTTCATAGCTTATCCATACTAGAGATGTAAGTTGAACTGCTAGTACAAATATACGCCTTATAGTCTTCATACTTTATTCAGTTTGTTGTAATTAACACCGAACCGGATCTGTTGACGGAAAGTACATTTTAAACAAATAATGTTGAGAAAAGATTATCAAAATGAGGATACTAAACATACATGGAAATGACGTCTTATAATCAGCTTTAACTAATATATTAGATGGAGATTATTACCTAGCGAGAGAGGGTTACTCGGTGATCAGGCGCTTGTCCCCTAGACCAAACATCCTACGACCTGCAGAATTTCGGGCTAAACTAATGAGATGTCGTTCATTACGACAAATCAACTCACCCATGTTTGTAATGATTGTCTAGTTAAGATTAGTAAGTGTTATAAACTTAAATATCTACCGATTTTGTATATCTATGTTGCTGACAAAAAATGAGTTATGATAACAACCATTCGTCATTTTTTATTATCTTTAAACTAGATTTTTAAAAATGTTTACACATCAGACCATGATTCACATCTCGGCAAACTTAACATAGGTAGATGCATACATGCTTATTGAATGAACATTTTATTTGAGCTCTAATTATAATGACCGTTTAATCACTTTAATACTAATTGTTTTTACATATATCACAAAAAACTTGATGAATTCAATGAAGGAAGCACCTACCGGTGATTATCTTCTTATGTTCTCAGCAAACTATGTTTAGTACTAATTAACAATGAAGTTTGCCAGTTTATCAGTATTGATTAGATGATAAGATTCACTTTTTGATATGCCAGTTAATATTATATTCCCTGAAACTTGCTGATTAGCGATGTTTATTGGATTTGTAAGTAACATAATATTTACTATCCAAAACTAATGCTAACAGATAAGGTCGATCAAAAAAAGATGCACTGAGAAACAAGTTGATTCTGTCGCAAATAAGGCTTACTGTAAAACGGCCATTTCCGAATATTATTCATTATTTTCCATCATATTCTCGAAATATGGTTGTGACTTATTGCTACACGAATACCTTGATATACTTGACTAAATTTTCCACGTTAGGCAGAATAATTATCCAGCATGAATTGATATGATATACTAGAATTTTGCTTAAAGCATATTTAGGGTTGTAATAATTTTTGAGTTTCCAAAATCTAATGGTGCTTGTCTTTTCATTTAGATCTTCGAATCTTCGAGATTATATGTCACAGTCTATCAGTGGTCATTATAGCTTCCAGATGCAGCTCACAGTCCATAAAAGCAACTAAGTATAAAACCGTTAAAGTTATTTTTAAGTAGCTACATGTTATCTTCATTAAGTAGATTTATGTGGATGTTTCTACATATTATTTGAGATATTAGGAGACATTAATTAATCATACACAATTTAAAAGGTCCTGATTAGTCGAGTAGTAAATTCTACTCACAGCATCTGAATAAATACCACTGGAAAATCAAGTGTATGTAGGACTATTTATACAACCACCAGTTTTTCTGTTTTATCATAATTTCCAAAAATAATTCATCTCCCAATAATAATGAATTCATCTCTAATCACTTTTTTTGTTTAAAAAATGTTTTTTTTTCTATTCAGCTGATTATTGAGATATATATGTATATATCCTACATAATTCGATTCCACGTCGCATATGCTAAACATAAATAGTGTTTTCATGTGTGAAAATAAGGGTTTGAGAAAGAACAGCAATAAATAAATTAAACATACTTGGCTTTATGAAAATCCTCAAGATTGTAATTTCAATTGATTCTTGTACTAATAATGATATTCTCGTGTCGACTGCGATTAATAAATTGAAAGTAAATTTACTAATTGACTGAATTTTTGAGTATGAAAGAATACAAATATTTTCTTACTAATGAACGTGATAGTTCGGTTGTTGTGACTCCTTCACGTAACCTACTATGCTTTATCTAAATATTATAAGACAAAATTATACCAGGATGTGAAAATTAATAGATCATTGGTTGAAAATATGGACAAGCATTGTAGAAACAGAAGTAGAAACAACGAATGGTAGTAATGAATGTGATTGGTGATTACATTGTAGTGGAACGCTTCTACGAAGAAAATACGATTTGTGAAAAATAAACATTATTGTACTCGTTTTATTTAACTGTACCAAAAACACTTCTTCCACTTCTTGTGCGCAACGTTCTCTTCGCGTTGCTGCCATTTTTCTAAATGCGCTGCTCCCTATGTAATGCCTACTCTCTCCTTCAATGAAACTTGGATCATGGATTTGTTTCGATTTTATAACGGCGGGATATTATGGAACATTTAGTGGTGAGCATAGTAATTCTGGTATCTTGACCCGCTCACTACAACACAAAAAAGAGCACTGTATTGAAATAAAATTATCATAAAAAATAGCCACATATTATAAGTCCATAACTACGAAGTCGAACTAGAAGATCGTAATTCTACATGCAATCTATCCTTGTGAAGACATCATTCATAGCGATCCTTGTGAATAGGGCGGCAGAAGCCTTCGTCTTGAAGTCGACAAACTGTTTCATAAAGACGTCTCAAATAGGCCTCTAGTTGAAAAGGAAGTGTTCGATATTTCTCAATTCTCCATAAATGTAAGTTGTAGAGCACTAGGATAGTCTTATATATCCTGTTTGAAACTGTTCACTCCGAGTTCTCTTATGTCAAGCATTTCGCGTTTTTGTTTAGCAGAATACTACCTAATGGTCGTTAGTAGTAGGAATTATGTCCACACGATTGTCTTAAGAAGTGTTCCGTGTGGCAACAACACATGTTCGAAACACTTCGATTATCGAGCTGAAGTTATTTTTCAGTGTCCTATTGACTTACTGTACCTACAAATTCATTTATTATTTCTTTGTTATCACTTTTGTTTACTCTAAATTCTGAACAAGCTTTCCACATGGTCTGTTAACTTTGCGAAGCGGTCAACAGTTGATTTGCATTGTGATTGTTGGAAATTCCTGTTTGACACTGTCCTAATACTTCTCAACTAGTTTTCCTTAGGTCTAATTCAATTAGCTCGTGCGACCTTTTCATTCCATCTTGATGTGTGCTTCTGACATGGCGCCTGATACTCAGAGATTAAAGAAGCAGTAATTTTCCAAGCCCAGTGATAATTATCGTTTCCATGCAATTTCCTAAAAACTGTTTGTGGCAATAGATTGGACAGAGTAGCCTGAGTTCGTTCAAAACTCCTACGCCGATATAGTAAATAGCTTAAGACGAATGGCACACAGGTCATTACTCCGATTTTTCAGCAAGCTGTCTGCGATACCATCTGGTCATTCAAAGTAACAGTGCTTCAGAGTAGTAATCGCCTTGGAAATGTTCTCTACACTAAATTCAACACTGGCGATTTCACATGAAGGAATTTTGGTCAGATATGATTCATTTGTTGGGTTTTCGTTTATTAATGTTGCACAAAAATGTTTGCTTAACAGCTCTGTGATACGTTTAGGGTCTTTATACACTTGGTTACCTTCAATAAATATGCTTCCTCCTTTCACTGTAGAGCATTTAAGTTTATTCTGAAGGAGTTTTATAAGTGCAGAGGATTCATTGTTCAGCTGAACAGCACGCTTTTCCTGTGCGATCGCCTTTTCAGTACGTATTATCTCTGCCTCGACACATATTACAGTCATCGTTACTGATGAGGAGAAGTCATTACAGTTATGAAGTCTGGAAGCATGTCTTCGAAGACCTTTTTGTACATGGCCCGGCATATATAAGTCCTTAGGAATTCTGGGTCTTCAGGATCCTAAGGATGCAAATTTATTGAAAACATTATTTCCGTTGAAATAAAATACATTTATTAGTTCCTCGTTATTGTTTGAGGTAAAGTAATTAGTCCAGTCAATGCATCAGAGGCAATTCCAGAAGTTTGTCCAATCGATTCCACGGAAGTCCCTACGAAGTGTAGTGGATTTACATTTTATAGTTGTAGCTCCTATATCAACGCTGCATATGACCATATTATGATCGCTACCTGGGAACTTTTTTCCAACATATACAGTATGAGGAATGAGATTGCAGGTGAAAATTAAATCCAATGGATTTCGATTTCTGGTTGGGCCGTTAATATGTTGAGTCCACGGTTCAAGCTCTAAGCACTCGATAAATGATTCGAATAGTTCAAGTGTTTTGATTGGTAACCAAGAGATTTCAGGCATTTTGAAGTCCCTACAAATAGCCTTGCCTGTAAACTGTAGGGATGAAGCAAGCGTGAATACTTCTGACAATAATGCTAGATCTCCTGGTGGTGCATTAGGCTGACGGTAGACACAGCTGAACATTAAGGAGACTGCATTTGAGGGTTTCAGAACGATCCACACAGAATTTTGTAATTTGTTCAGTTCCGACACATCACATGGGATTGGGTTTAGGCTGGAGTGGGTATATATGAGACATCCTTCACCTCTTCCTTGTAACCTATCACTTAGAAATAGATCATAGTTTTCAAGAGATATGGTGTTACGGGAGAAACGAAGACATTTTGCTGATCAAAACCTTCATGTATAAATATCATTAATTTCACTGTTTTTGGGTACATTTGTTTTACTTAACTTGTGAACTTGTTTGAATTATTATTTGCGGACATTTTGGACTCCCGTTTCTCTTTGTTGTTCGTTTGCAGTTTTTTGCTCCAAGAGCTAATAAATTAGAAGAGCGACATTGGTCGTCTATTTGTAATAAAGTATTTTGGTCGAATTTGTGATTTGGAATAAACTTTGGTATCTACTTTGGAGTTTCGTTCTTGGTTTAAACATTTGGGACCGTGAATTACAAATAGCTCGACAACCGTGCTTCGTAAGATCAACGAGCAAAGAACTGGACGTAACAAAAGTTCTTCTAATTTAAATTTGTCATAAACTGGATTCTTTTGGTCGTTTGACTCCAGAGGTTCTTCAATTCAAATTTTGGTCGTTGGAAACTTTTGGAAATTTGGGTCCAAAAGTTCTTCTAACTTTTAATCTGGTCGTTGGATACTTTGGACAATTCAATTTTAGTTCTTTGGTTATATTTTGGATACCTTTGGACATTTTGTTATTAT